AGTATATATATATATATATATATATATATATATATATATATATATATAAGCATTACAGATGTTAGTCTAAATAAAGAATTTTAAAAGTTCATTCTTCAGCACTGGATGAATTATCGTTCACTTTTATGTCAGTTAATAGGTTTTTTCTTCTGAGTCACTGTAACAAAAACAGAACTCAGGCTCAAAAACTTCAAAAGTGCTTTCTGTGCATTGACAATTCATACAAGTAGTAGAGGAAAATTCCCCCAAGTTCTAAATATTTTGGACAGACCGCTGGCCTGTGTTGAACCAGGAGGAAAAATATTTGTCTTCTCTTCTTTTTTGAACTATATAATGAATGAATATAGATTCTAACTGTCCAGTATGCCATTTCTCCAATTAAATGCTGCATTTGATCCATGGGTTAACGTCTTAACTGGTGGGTTAATCATCTGCCATCTATTCTCCTCTTTAAGCTCTTCACAGAAACACATGCCCAGTGAAGGTATCTGGAAAAACAGAGAGATTTCAACAGGACTTTGTATTAGAACTTTCCTGAATACGCTGGAAATGGGGAAGACATACCATATAGACTGAAAGCACAGCGTAATTAAACAGTTTGCATTGTGGAACAGGGGTGTGTATCTTGAGAGCATTTTAGGAATACAGATCAAGATATTCTCCCACTTGACCTAAAATGAATTGGTAGCATGAGGAAGTCCTATCTGTTGGACACTAATGGAGCTTGTGTCAGCTCCACAAGCTCTTCCAGAGATCTGATAATCAAGCTATGTTCTTTCTATCTCATGCATCATCACCAGTAATAAACACACTGCTGACCAAATTCTCCCCTCCCTAACACCAGTGCAACAGGTATAATGGAAGGGAAAATTTGGCTTACAGAATCTTTGTTACCGGTGATTATGTACAAACCAGAAAGCATAGGTTGGTCATCAGATCCCAGGATGAGCTTGTGATGCTGGCAACACAGATCACTCTTTTATTCATAAACGGAGCAAATATGATTTGGGCTCACTGAGACACAGTGAACATGGTACCCCACTGTACCACCTTACAGACTGACTTTTCCAAATGGGAGCTGTGCTTTCTTGACGTAGGCCGCACAACACCTTGGGAGATACAAAGGGGACACTGTTATCCATCTTAGTGACAGACAAACCAAGATACCTAGGGGGAGATTTTCAAAGGCACACCTGGCAGTTCGGTGTGTACCTCCCAGTGACTTTCAATGGGAATCTGGTGCCATGGTGCCTTTGAAAATCTTCACCGGAGAGATATGATATGCCCAAGGTCACATGGCAGTTGACTGGTAGAACTCACATCTCTTGACAGCCAGTTGTGTGCTAGAACTACTGAACAGAGCTCCCTCCAGAATCAGAGAGTAACTCTTGTTTTGAGCAATTGAAAAAACAAACAGCCCATTGCTTGAGTAGGTTCCTTACTGAAAATATACCAAGGAGAAAACAGTGGGCAAGAGCTTCCTGTTGGAAAAACTTCTTACCTTTCTAACCAATGAGGCAAAATCATTGCTGTCTCTGGCTGGGAGCCCTAGTACAGGTCGAGTGAAGGAATCCAGGGATGAGCCATGACCCACTATCAGGATGATACCTGTTACACCAAAATAAATAAAGGAAGGAAGAAAGAAAACTGTAACTTCACAATTCACTGTGTGTTGGTTATGCTTATTGGCTGTTTTTGTGTTGTTCATCTTTGCAGAGCTGTGTGACATATAAACTGGGCAGGTGTAAATATCCTGTTTGGTATGTTTCATGCAATTTAGCTAACGAGACAAGCATTTGCTGGGGGGAAAATGAAGCTTTCAAAACAAAAAAAAGCTGCCTTACAGTGTCAAGTCACATCCTGACAAACTTAGTTTGTCAAACTAAGACCCTGCATATGATATGATTTAGCAATGGAGTATTTTACTGCTTTATGTTTAGTCTTGTCTATTTCTATTTTAAATAATAGATATATTAATTTAGTATAATGTTTAATAATCTACCTCAAAGACAGGGCAATACCAAGCATCCATACTGAATGTATTTCATATGGCACAGCTGTTTCCGATCCTGCCATTGAAAACATGCGAGAATGTGAAATATTTACCGTTGCTTGTACAGTCACTGAGAATCTGTTTTATAACTGCAGAGCATCTGCTTACATACTCTTCATAACTTTCCGATGGCACCAGGGAGGAAAGTGGGAAAGTACATCTGATAATAAAAACCACAGAGGAGTCACTCATCTAGGTAACGTTTGTTTGTATATTGAGACAGTGTCAACATTATCAGTAAACAAACTGGTACCTATACACCATCTTTACCTCAGAGACTGCACTGATTTGAAGCATGGTACTTCAACTCACACCAAACAGTAGCTTTCTCTGCAAGTAGTCCAACTGAATCCAATAGAGGAACTCACAGAATAAGATACTATCCAGTGTGAATAAGGGTAGCAGCATCTGTCCCTTAGTAAACCTCACAATGGATCATGCAGTTTATAAGAAATATACCCCAGAAATGCTTGTGTTCAGAAAAAAACATACAAATATAGGCTCCTCCAGGCAAGAACATTAAAAAAAAAATAATTGTCCAGGTAGGATGGATTTTAGGCTTAAAAACTGAGCCAAACCCTGAAGTCCGTACTCAGTTCTTATCTATACAGAACTCCCACTGACACCAATGAAATGGCTGATTCCAGGATTTGGCCCCTTGGCTTGAGTGTCCCTTTAAAAATCCCTACCTGTGCCTGCTTTGACAAAACAAATTAACGGGTTTCAGGGTAGCAGCCGTGTTAGTCTGTATCCTAAAAAAAAAACCCTGGAGTACTTGTGGCACCTTAGAGACTAACAAATTTATTAGAGCATAAGCTTTTGT